TGATACATGCATATATTTAGTAACTTTTAAACTTTTTGTGCCTGACAGACTGATAACTGGCAGACAGGCCACAGACTGTACATTAATTAACAATTCAATTTCAGAACCACATGCAATTCAGCTCTTGAAATGTTTCTCACTTCCCTCTCTTCTCAAACCCAGGGTACCCCTCGAAACAATGCTTACCCACAGGGTTTAGGAGGGGAAGTCTGAGGATGAGACAGGCTCCTGCAGCACTTCCTTGTACTTCCAGCCTTGGAAGGGTTTCATGCAGCTTTTATGTGGACTTTATAAGCATCATGGAGACTGGGAGAGTCGAACAAGATTTCCTATAAAATAACAATACATAAAATTTTTTACCTGAGCAGTGTGGATGAGAGCCAGCAGAGCTTCACAATCTCAAGCAAATCCAAGCCATCTCAGCCCTCTGTTTTCCCAGTCCGTCACAGCTTATTTGCTTCTTCGCCTGATCTGTCCATAGCCTGTTTGGAATGGACCTGCCACCACTCAGTGCCTCACAAAAATCTTTAGTCCAGAATAGGCATAAACATTTCCCCATAATTTCCATGTAATTTTTTCAACCCCCAATGCTTTAGGAAGCATTTCTTTACCAAGAGAGTCAGCCCTGAATTGTTGCATGTCCCTTCCAACTGAAACAGTACATTCTCTTCTGTCTATTGTGTTCTAGTTTGTCTATTCTAGCCTATTGCGTTGTCTATTCTATTGTATTTCAATGGAAAAGGACCTACAATGATCATCTAGTCCAATTGCCTGAACAATTCAGGGCTGACCAAATTCAAGAATGTGTTTTAGGGCATTGGCCAGAAGCCTCTTCAATACTGACAGGTTTGGGGTATCAATCAATTCTCTAGGAAGTGTGTTCCAGTGTTTGACCACCTTTTCAGTAAAGAAATGCTTCCTAAGCATATTTGATTCTGTTCTAACTCCCTATAGGCTCAAAGAGAATGCAGCTCATGTATCTTGTTTTATGACTGAATTACTGTTAGTGCACAAACCAGAAGCTCTGAGTGTCACGGTGCTTGAGGCCTGTCTGTGCACCTGGGAGCATGTGGGAAGGTTCCCTCTCTGAGAACTCAGGGCTGGGAATAGAGGAACCTGCAAGGAATGGGAGTAGTGGGGCTTTTATGTGGCATCCATGTGTCTTGCCCAAAATCCTAACTAGAGATCCACACTCCTTTGCCTGCCACACCAACCACCAATTCCCAATGCTCCTCCTTTCCTGTGCTGCTCAGGATCCATACAAAGCTGTGCAGTTTGATCTGCACCTCTGGGGAGAGCCCACCCTCTCTCCCCTGACAGATGGATAATGCTGTCCCACAAGTGAGCATCTGTCCCAGCAGTGCTCCTGCCATGAGACCCCATTTGGGAAGCCCTGAGTGATGGTGGATTGTCCCTTCCTTTCCCCAAGCCTAGGGGTTCTGGCCTTAGGGGTGGTGGAGGGCTTCTTGTAACAGGGTCCTTATACACAGATCTAGACAGCTTTGGCACACTCCATTGTGAAATGTCACGCTCCCCTTCCTCTTTGTACACTCAACAGGCATCCATTATCCTGGCCCCGCAGAGCCTGTCCCGATACACCTCTGACAAGGGTGGCCTGGGAGTTCCAAGGGAAACAAGAAACTCCCAAGTCTGAGAGGAAACAATAGCACAAGGAAGAAATCAATTGGAGGCAAGAAGCAGGGTCTCTTAAGAAGTGAGTCTGAAGCAGCCTCGAACCTGCCAGCAGCTGCTGCCCAGCTCCCAGGGAGGAAGGGATCACTCACCTGCAGCAGACACTGCCCACATGCGACACCCCGGCACACTTCCCTGCTCCAGCCTGGCAGCAATGGCTTTTCCTGGCTTTCCTGCCACTGGATCCAGCTGACGAGGGAGCCCACGGGGAAAATCTCTTCCCTTGCTGTTGCCAGTGCCTGCCAGGAGCCGGGCGAGGCTCCCGCTGCCGGTGCGCGGCAGCCCCGCGGTGCGGCGGAGCCCTCGCCTCCCGCCCGGGCAGGTGCATTCCCCAGCTGGGTGGCGTCTCAGCAAACCTGCTGCTGCTCTTGGAGACGCTCCAGACCGCGCCGGTGTGCAGGTGCTACCCCTCCCTCCCCGGGCAGGATCTGGCCTCTGGCCACACACCGATCCTGGAAGGTGGCTCATTTCCTCCCAGCTGGAGGTGAACGGGTGCCAGAGCAGCTCCCAGGCAGCACGGGGCAGCGCTAGGGGACATTTGACACACTCAGCAAGTATTTGGTATTAAATAAAATAGCTCCTGCTCTACTTTATAGGTTAGGGCCATCCAGTCATATCAGGACTGCTTCTTTCTGTGGCAGAAGTTCAGGCAAGCACTCAAGTCAGGCAAGATGTTACTGTCACATCTTCCCAACAAAAGGCAGCTGCACAACCCCCTCCCTGGGAGACATCAGCACCAGCAAAGTTTACCAAGCTGCAGAAGAGCTGATTTCCTGGTCGTCCAGTGGGGAAAAAAGGGTAACTATTTTGAGAGGAATCAGGGAAACAGAAAAACATTCATTTAAGAGCTGAAGAATAACAAAAGGGAGTAGCAGGAATGTTGAATTCAGTAGGGGAATGGGATTCCCAGACTGATCAATGTCCCCTCCTTCCTGGTTAGGTTTCATGATAGCAGAAGGGATCATTACTGTTAGTCTGAGCAGCTAGAAAATCTACAGGGTAATGCAGGAAGAAGAGTACAGGACTGAACAAAAGCTCTTGCCTGGCTAATGGAAAGGGAGGCTTGGTTATTAAGTCACATGCTACTTTTTTATCAGGCTGTGAGAAGGGAAGCTTAGGACATGCTAATCAAATAGAAACCAAGTAGTGTGACAGGTTCAGGAATTTGTATGAGAAAAATCTGATATGTCTTTGGAGACTTGTGAAATATCATCAGTCCAAAGGATGTTGTCCTACACATAAAAAAACAAATGGTATGTGATAGGTTTTCCTATACAAACACCTTTGAACAATGAGCTTGACCCTATCCAGAAGAACCTGGGTTTTTTAGCAAAAATGTTATCTAAGGGGAAACCTTATTCAGATAGCCATGTAGTCATTTTAAAAAGTGGGCTGTAGCTTTATAAGAGCATGAAATCCTTACCAGCTCCTTTAGGGAGATACCAGTAGGAGAAACAGAACAATGAAGGTCAAGAGAGGATGAAAGCAGAAAATGATTTTGCACCCTGAGAGAATTCAGAAGACTATTAGCACACAAAACCATAATCCAGTTACAGATTAATTCTAAAACATTTATAGAGTTTGTGTGTGGGAGTTTGACCTTGGTCTGCTTTTCCCAGTATGGAAGGGGCTTGTACATCTACTTTGCTTCCAGCAGGTCTGTTGAGGATTAGTTGTAACACTGCTGTGCCTGATGTTTAATGCTCCTCTATACAAGCAATGTTTTAGCTGCCCCTTGGCCACTAAGTTCAAAATCCTCCTCAGCCTAAGTCTGGCAGCTGAAGCTACCTAGGCTTCATCTGACAGGCTGAGTATTGCCTTTAAAATTTGCTACCAAGGGTGACATAGGGATATATTTTTAAGCATATCAGTCACCATTTAGAAATAATTCACTATCTGTATTGGGATATTAGGAAAAGATTCTTCTTATTTAGACAAGTTGATTTCATTTCTCTAAACCACAACTATTAAACCAGTGTGGTGTATGATTCTAGCACTCAATTTGTCCTGACAGAGAGAGGAGAAAATTATACCACACGAGAGCCTAGCAAATTAAAATGGGTGTGTCCTGAAAATTTTAGAGGGAACTAGGTTCTAAAATATTTACTAATTACATTAATTACATCCTCTTTCTCTACAGGATGTATCAAGATGATTATATGGAGAGGGGAGGAGGAAGAAAAGGTGTTAAGCTAGCCCATTAACAGACCATTAACTTCTTCCTTTTGCTCCTGTGAAACCTATGCTCCATACAGATTAAAGATGCAAAATGGAAAAAAAAAAATAGACCAAAGAAAGTTAATTCCACATTCATGGACAAAGCACTCAGCTGAAGTCTCCAAAATCATTGGAGCTCATGGAACCATCTATTTTGCCATGGTATTGCCCTGGCAATGAGTGGTATTCCTGATGGTATTGCAGCTTACATGTTACTCAGCCCTGGCACCACCTTCTTCTGTATAATATTAGGAGTATATTAAAAGTACTTATCACTTTTCCACAACTCAGGATAGGAAATGAAACAGAAATATACTGGCTGTTGTAATGCTATATAGTTCCATGCTCAACCAGTAGCTCAAACTTCTGATAGATGTGAAATAGTCCTCAGTGGGACAGTGTGTCATGCAGTGACAACAAAGGATGAAAAATCTGGTGTTTTTTTTCCCCCCTTATTATTAAAGAAATTACTCCCTGCCTTTTTCTGTGTATGAGTACTTTGTAGAGTGACTTATTAGGAGAATTTCACTGAAAAACTAAAAAGGGATTGCAGATATTGAAAAAAAGACAAACAAAAACCAGTTTATCAAAGTTATAGGAATTATGGCATAAGGATTGGACTTTATTCCAGATTTGGGGAGTTTGAAACTGGGCTGCCTTTTTTGTCCTGCTGAAATAATTGTAGCAGATGAGACAGCACATCTCTAGACAGAAAGCAGAGGCTTTACCAAGGGCTCTAGCTTGTGTGTGCATGAGTCAAAGGTTGTCCTCACAAGGTAATTGATTGTTAATCTGTGACTGGATACCTGCTTGGAATAACAATGACATCGGTCTTAAGAGCAGCAGTCCTTTGTATGGACATAGGCAATTTAATAGTGGAAAACAAAAGGCTGATGTTGAATTTTGCAGCACAATGACACCAAATTAGAATTCTAGCAGAAAAGGCCTACAGTTTGACCAGCTCTTCTGAATTAGGACACATTAGTTTCCAGGAGAAAGATGAATACCTAATATGAAGGCACAAAGGTTAGTCTAACACTAGCATGAATTTATTTTTTTTTCTTCAGGCTTCTAAGTCTCATGAAAAGGGCAGATTTCAGGAAAGTAGAAGTGTTCAGAGCACTGATTGTTTAATAAATGCTCCTAGAGGAAGAGTATAGGATGATGTAAGTCTATGCTGTTGCATTTCTGATCTTGCCAGGAGGATATAATAACATAAAGCATCCTTGAACCACATCAGTGTTGCTGTGTCTTGTGGCTTCTTCCCAGATTCAGGTCAGGAAGATTTCTAACTGAAAGAGACTGCACCTGGAGAGTTCAGGGCTTTCCCCATCTCCTGGACTTGATCTCGCAGATATTGAATTTCTAGCTGCTGCATTTCTATGATTTTTTCACTTTCCATCTCTGGATTCAGCCTCAGGACAGCTGGGCCTGATGGAAGTTCAGCGGAGGGAGCTAGAGGATAAAACAGAGAGGACATAGTACAGTAAAAAGGTCCAGCTCATACAGTTCTTGGGCATGAACAAAGGAAAGAATCTTTCAGGGCTGAAGGAGTAGATCTAAATAGTAAGAATCTGCAGGATTTAGCAGCTTCTACAATTAACATTAAAATGTACCAGGTACCACCAGGCAGACAAGTTAGAATGAAACACAGACAGTAATAAAATTGTTCACCAAGGACCAAAAGAGCTTCTGCCATGAGTACTGACAATATGGAAAATATACAAGAGCTATTCACCTGTGTCTTGAATTGCCTTTTTGCTCTTGTTTAGTCTCAGTGCAGACTCGAGGTTGTGCACCTGCGTGTTGGCCACCCTCAGCTCTTGCCTCAAGTCATTAATTTCCTTAATCAGACTCATATTTTCCTGCAAAAACAAACATGCTCATAAGGAAAGACACAGGCACTATCTGGCTGAGCAAGATGTATCTTCATATCTTTGAGAAAGACACTGGGAAGTACAGAATCAGTATCACAAGCAGGTGTTGGGCAATCAGGAGAGTACACAACATTTCAGGTAAGATCACAGTAGATGTGACTCAGTACATGACAGTATTCAAACCATGTAAGCTCAAAAAACCAATATTTGTTTTGCTTTTCTGACTGCAGCTGCACTCCAAGGTATCATCTTCCTTGCCAATTCCAAATGGAAGCTCAGGGCCTTCCTAAATATATCCAATTAATTCAGAATTAATGCAAAGAATTCCCGTCTCTCCCTCCAGTGTGTATTATTTTACTTTTCATTTGTCACTATGTATTTGTTCACTTAAATTATCTTTATCTCTTTGGAATTAGTCAAAGCCCTCTTCATTAGTTCTGACAGACATTACTTTTCCACACACCTTCCAAATTATTAGAAAATCTATAAAGCATGTGGAGACTTGAGGTACCTACTGCTAACAAGCTGTTATAAGGAAAAGTTGACAATGTATTAATCTCTTATTCTTTTTTTAAGTCCATTTTTAGCCCATAAGAGTTCAATCCTCTAATTTTTTAGTAGCCTACCATGAAGCATCTTCCTGAAAGAGCTGTGAAAGTGCCAGTAAATGTAATTTACCTATTGTTGCAACAGATTCAAAGACTTAGCAAAACCAGTATGGTTAATACTATTTAAGGATGATAATACTGCTGCTCATGATTTAGAAACGGGAGCACCATTAACTAAATATTTCTTTTCTGTATTCAAGAGAGTGAAGTACAATTGTATATTTGCTTCTTACAAGGACATTGAAATAACACATCAGTAACTAGGGCAAATGTTGAACAGCTGCCATCATACTTGAACTACTTCAGCAACTATTTCAGCTACCTGAGGTGTGTTTTTTAGAACTTTTGGAACACAATGGCAATATTTCAAAAAGATAGATGGCAAAAAGGCATGTTTAGGCTACCTCACAATACCAGTCTCAAGCAGTAGGGAACACACTGAAACAGCAGGAGATAAGAACAAGGATAAATGAAATTTTTCCATGAAAATGGTGCCTTCAAATCTTATTTTCTACTTTTGTTTTAATGATAATTTTGGTTGATAGAGATAATTATGTTGCCACAAAAGACTGTGCAAAGCATACGACTGAGTTCCTTTGAGTATCCTTATAAAGTGTTGGCACCACACAACTGCAGGCTGGTCAGAAGTGAAGTACAAAGCCCACTGCACCTCTCAGTCTGTGCCTGCACTCAAGGACTTCAGATTGGCAGCAGTAGCTCAGGGCATGTGTGGGGCAAGATTATCAAGACTTCACACTAAGACAAGTAGAGCAGCTGTGCTTTAGCTTCTCCTCAGCTGAGAATCACTGACTGGAGGAAGAGTGTGGGATTCATTAAGTTCTGAACTTGTTGGGCAAGAAGAGTTGCTCTTGCAGTGCTTATGCTGGACTAGAAATGCAGCAGGAGTTGGTGTGCTCAGGCAGCTTTAGAACTGTAATGTTTTGCTGAGTCTGACTTCTCTAATGCAAGCCTTTAAATACAGATGAAATTTGACTCCATGCATTTATTCCAGAGCTTGATCCTGAAAGAGCACATGAAGAGGGTAACTTCCAATAATCAGTCAAGGTAATTTTCTTTTAACCAGCTTTCAGGGTTGGGTCATAACATTTGCCTTTAGGTGCACTTTAGTCATGACCACCTTCATATGTTCGTTCCAAGTGATTACCTGCTGCTGTGAAATGAAGATCTTGCTTTTGGTCTATCAGAAAATACAATACAGAGTCTTTTGATGAAGCAATCTGGGTTATGTAAAAATGTCTTGTTTAGTTTGCTTGATGCTAAAAGACTGTTGGTTGACACTGCTAATATTTTCCTGAAGAGGCCTTTTCTCCAGAGAGATTAGCCTTTAATTCAATATTTACATTCTGACAGAATGCTTGCACTGCAATGCAACGTCACAGAATGGATATATAAAACAAATATTCATGGGAAAACTAATTGTCATGGGAGGTTGTGTCAAAGAACCAATTGTTTCAGAAAAGGGACTGATCAAATGCATGGATAATGAGGCCATCAGGTACAATGACATGTCATATGGATGCAATCTACAGTCTAGGAAGTCCCTACAGTGCTGACTGTCAGAGACAGGTAGGACATATAGAACATTTCATCCTATATGGGTTTCAGTTTAAGCAGCACTACTTCAAGGTTATTCAGTGTCTCTGTTTTTATGTATCCAAAGAAACCATTACAAATACAGAAGGCTGGAGGAAAAACTAATAGCTGAATAACAGGCAACTTGTCAACTGGTAAGAATAACTAAAATTATCTTGACAGTTCTAATCATCTGTTGCAGCAGTCACTAGTGGAGTGTACCTATGAATAATCTCTCAAAGAGGAGGGCATAGCTCTGAAAATGTAACTGCAACTGAGGAATAATAGAAATACAGAGCTGGAAGACTGTCAAGATGTCATTTGCTTTTTCAAAGCAAATCCTCACAGAAGTTTGTCTAAACTAGTCTTAAAAGCCACTGTGAAAGACTGGAAGGCCATGATAATTCCTGCTGGTTATAAAATCTCATTAATCTACTGGACTTCAGAGAACTGCTTTTTCTTTGAAGAAACCAGGCTGGTTAGAATCTTTGATATCTTCATCTTCCAGATGTTTTATTAATTTGGTTTTAATCATCATTTCATTTTAGGCTTACTGATCCAAGACATCAAGTATTATCATTATGAACACCATCTGTCACCCTATTCCAGTAAGGAAATTCTTCAGGTTATTTTCTGAACCCATCTCCTTTTGTTCCAAGGGAAACATCTATCTCACAGAAAGAGTAAAAAAAAAAAAGTTAAAATAGCATCAAGGAAGAAGATTGCTGCTGTCTAGCCCTGAAGAAGCAAATTATGAATAAATAGCAAACAACAGATGACTTAGGAGGGGAGGAGATTTAATGATCCTGAGGAAGCACAATAAAGTAACAATGTAGAAAGGGCTACTGAGGGGAAAAGGAAATGCTGACTGAGCAGAAGGAGAGCATGTTAAGAAGAGACTAGAAAGCTGTCCTTCTAGGATGTCTGGTGTGGAGCTCTAGGTCCTCCCACTCCAGATAAAAACAAATTGGATCTTTGACCCCAGCAGTCACGAGTTTACTTTGCCTTGTAAGAAACAAGGATTCTGAGCAAGAGATCTTAGTACAAATAGACATATTCCCCATCTGTTTCTGAACTTCCTTGAAAATTTTGGATGTGAAAAGCAAAAAGTTCTTCTCAATTCACACCAGTAGGGATGGACTATGTGGACAAAGAAGGGTTTTTTTTTCCTTTTCTTCCTCCAAAATTACTTCCTAAACATTACTACATAGCAGATATAGCTTGGCATCCAAGCAAGGGCAAATTGACTATGATGGCAATTATAAGTACTGTTTGAAATAAAAAGTAGGTACGTTAATTTCCTTTAAAACATCCATGCAACAGAAGTTCCCTATCTCCTTTTAGGGAGTGGGAGATAAACAAAAGCCTGACTGATCTCTGACTTCCGAGATCTTACTCTTTTTGTTCAGAAAAGTTAATGGAAGCACTTGAAAAATGTAGGAATTTCTGGCAAGAAAGTCAACCAAAACTATTTCAAAGTCCTAAGAAACCATAGCAGAAAGGTTAATTAAGTCTCTTATGTGCAGGCATTTCCTTTGTTCCCACTCCACAGCACGAGGAAAAGGCTGATTACCTGTACGATGCGCATGTAAGCAGTGTGCTGTATTTCCTTATCCTTCATCACCTTCTTCCTCAAAACTGCCAAATTCCTCTCGTTGTACTCTTGCTGTTTCTTGTACTGCTGCTGCAAATCTGCATCTTCTGCTTGAGCCTCCACCTGAGAGGGCACAGCATGTTGTCTCAGTAATGACACTACTAGACACAGTCATGGGCAGGGAGAAGGCAAAGGTCCTGACTCACCACGTCTGGCTGATGCATATACTTGGTGTAGAGCTCACGGATACCATCTTTCATTTTTTTGGAATCGTTGATGAATCTCACACAATTATGAAGATCTGCCTTAAATCGTTTGATGAGGGTTTCCATATTTTGCCTCTGCAAGAACAATGCAGTCACATTCTTAGTTGGTTCATCAGAACACTCCATTGTGCAATTTTCTAGAAAGTCTAGTGGAACTTGTGAAAACTCTCATATACTTTCTTCCACTTCATTAAAAAAAATTAATTAACAACTCACTGGGAATGTAAGCATTATGTGTTGAACAGCAGTCATAGATTTTAGGAATAATAATAAGCCAAAATATTTTTATTAGGTAATATCAGTGACAACCTGCAAAGATGACAACTGAAAAACAGTGGCTCATTATGCTATTGCCCACTGTCCTTTCCTAAACCCAGAATCACAGAATATGCAGAGGTGGGAGAGACCCACCAGTCCAATTCAGCTCTGCCCAGGACATCCCCAGGAGCCACATCATGTGCCTGAGAGCATTGTCCAAATGCTGTCCTACCTTCTTATTTAGAAACAACACACCAACAGTTAAGGAGAGAAGGCAAGGGACAAAACGTATCAGACACATGCACAGCTTGCTGATTTCACATCAAGACTGCCTTCTCATTCTCTTTTGGTTTCTGCCAGTCCTCCCTACCTGCTTCCTCACCCATGCTCTCATGCTTGCTAAGCTCCTCCACCTTCCCCTGCAGTCCCTTTTCTTTCCTCATGTCTGATATGCTGTCAAACAAGGGGTCCTGGACTCCTCCATTAATGAGACCTTCCTTTCTGTTGTCCTACTAATGCCTAGGTGGTATCCTGCATGCTGCTCCTGTTTAGGCCAAGTGTCCCCAGATTTCAGACTTGGGCAGGAACAAGTAGTTCAGCATTCACCTCACTGTTTTCTTAAACTCAGGACAATATGTGTTGATTCATAAATAACTGGATTTTTTAAAAATATGAATGCTCTAAGCTGGTTGCAGGCTTGGAAGTTTTGTGTCTTTGTCCCCCCTGAGCAGAGACTCTCCTGGTCCTTGGACACAGCAGCCCTGCAGTAACTGTTTGCTCAGATTAATGTTTCACCAGGGTTGTGTCCCCACCAATGCCATTCTGGGGGACCTGCATGGTGGGGGTACCCCATACCTTTTCCATCTCTCTGTGCACCTCTCCAGCAGTTGCCTTCTGTTTCTGCTGCAGCTGGGTGATGTTCAGCTTCAGCTCTACGCTCTCCTTGCGGAATTGTTCCAGCTCCTCCTCCATCTGAAAGGAAGCGGGAGGAGGAAATCAGGGCTAGAAGGAGACGTGAAAAAATAACACATAACAGGAAAACCAGAGGCTGGAAACACAGACTTGAGGGAATAGGTCCCCCTTCAGGTCGAAAGGCAACATGAGAAACGTCAATTTTGTAACAACACTGCCCTCTGTCAGAATATACAGAAAACCACACAAATGAATGTGCAACTCCCTGCTGAGTCACATTAATTTAAATTATGTGATACCCCTTACATTCCTTGAGCTGAACGGGAGCTCTACCGTTCCATCTGAACAAAAAATGGATGAGGGGGAAATGGACAGTCAATACTGGAAAGAGAAAGGGCAACAATAACTAGACCCTGATACTGAAAAGAAACAAATAGATTGAAAACTGTGGGTAGTTATGCAGAACACGCAGGAAAAAACAATAAGGGTACTATAGAATTTACTTATGGCACAAGATGGTGACCAGAAAAGACAACAGGGATTTCATCTTGCTAGTCTGAAGTACATACAAATTGTTGATTAGTTTGCATTTTATTTAAAAGACTATGTCACCATAGTCCTAGTTTGATTGAGCTAAGGATACATCTATGCAGAGATCCAAGTAAGCTTCTATCATAAATAAGTTCCCTCAATGAATTTGCTGCATGCTAAGTATGAATACATTCAAATTTCCCATGTATCAACTGATGAATACAATTTGTCCATATACCTAACCTCTAGCAGAATTATGTTTGCATAAATCTGCAACATTTCTGAGAGAAGAAATGTACTCTTTTCTGCCAGATCAGTAAAAGCAGTGTCTTGCAAATTCTGTAAGGCACATGGAGGGCAACCACATAACGATAAGATCTATTTTTAAGCAAAATTTAGAATTACATACAGGAACTGAAATAACTATGTGGATCACTGGTAGCATGTGATAGAAAATTAATTAGCTATTTTCCACAGGTATTTTTATTAGCTGCACAGATATTGAATCAGTGCTATGTATCCTTGAAAGAAGTCAAGGAACAACCAGGGTGGAATCTTTCACGGACTTGTTGGGTCATGTTTGTATTTAGACAATGGGCCTAGTAGCAGAGGCCAAATGAGAGTGTTACTCACCTCACTGATCTGTTTCTTCATTGTCTCAATATCATTTTCACGTGACTCTATTTGCTTCTTAGACTCCTCTATTTTGTAACTCAGTACAAACTTGAAATTTTGCAGTTCCTGATTTTTCATTTTTAGCTCATATACATACTTCTCCTGGAAGAAATGGGTACAGATATCTGAATCAGAGCCAGCACTCTCACACAGATCCCTAGGACAAGATACAAATATGGAAGAGACAAAACCAGCAGTCACAGATCTTGTGGAAGATTGAACTCCAGTTGCAAATCTACAGGTTAGATGGGAAGGGGCAAAAAATGCTGAGCCATCTACAGATCCCAGAACAGGGGATAAGGAGGTCAACATCCTGAACTTGAGCTCTCCAAAAAAAGCTTAGAATGCCAACTAAAAACCAAAACCCCAAACTGGAGATCACAAATTCATTAAGTTGAAGCTGACTCTTCAGTCATGTGATATTATCACAACTAATAAGTATCTCTAATTAAGGGAGGGGATTTTGACCTCATCCAATTGTCCACTTTCTCACCTTCTCTAGGATAGTTTCAGTTCTCTCTTTAACATCTGTCTTTAGTGCAAAGATATCCTTTTCCAGTGATTTAATGATGTCTTGCAGCTTCTGCTGTTCTAGTCTCATTTCCTCAATATCCCTGTTTCGGTCCTTGAGCTCTTTCTGTAGGCTGTTCAACTAGAGAGGCAAACTAGTGAGAACTTACCAGTCTCCAAAAGCTGTGCACAGCTTGGTCCTCCTGTTCTGTAGGATACCTTGTAGACAGTGTGGATAAAGGATATAAAATTAAGATATGAGGAAGGAGCAGCTCATCAGTTAAATGCCTCTAACTCAAAAGGGGGTTGAGTGTCCATTTTGCTTTTTCTGTATATTCTGACAAGAATATCTGCTGCACAGGAAGGAAGGAAGGAAGGAAGGAAGGAAGGAAGGAAGGAAGGGAAGGAAATTGCATGCAGCAGCAAGAAGGGTATGGATATTATACCTAAGCATCAGCTGCAGCTAACACTCAATCCATGGAATATTCTCATAAGGTGAAGGCAATACATCTCTAAAGATGGAAGACTGGAAGGGTGCCCAGTTCATAGCTCTTGGGTACCCTCAAAATCCCTGCCTCAGTACTAAGATCTGCAAAACCAAGAAAGTTGGAACCAATGAATGGCACTGGACAACCTGTAAGGACACATGAAGAAAACCTTGAGGTCTAAAAGATAAAGAAATTAAAAAGACAGTACCATGATAGTAGAGGGTATGAAAAGAACCTCTCTGTCTCCAGATAGATACTGGAGAAAACAAAAAACAAAAAAATGTCTCTCTAACATCCTTAGGCAAATGTACTACCCAGACCATAAAAGAGGTAAAATATTTTATGTCTCCTTAAAAATTCCAGTAAAGCCAATAACAAATGATGATGCAAACAAAACACAGGGATTATTGCATCGAATGAAGCAGTAGAAGTATTTTACTAATACAGCAAAGTATTCAATGATAGAAAAATTAAGAGTTCGTTTCTTTCCTGTCATAGGACGAACAATATTATTTATAGCTCAAAACTATGCAGATCAGAGAAAGTGTACTAATAAAAACATACCTCCTGTATCATCTATCTCTAATCATATCAGCAATACAATCAGCAGACAGCTTCTTCTTCTGTCCAAATACTCTAAACATTCAAACTAACCTACTGTTCTCATATGAAATGCCACATATTTACAGACTAGATAAATGGACTAAACTGACATGCCATTAATCACATTCAGTCCTCAGTTCTAGGTCTTGTGAAGCTCTGATACTAGCACAGAATAAAAGATACCCTTTTATTCATGACTCCTATTTCTCCTTTCAGTTGGATGTTGGACTCCTTTTCCTCCAAGAGTTGTTTCTCATACTTGTCTTTGAGCTCGAAGATTTCTTTGTCTCCATCTTCATAAATTTGTTTCTCCATTTCTTCATGTGCTTTAATCTGCTTCATCATACTCTCCTTTGTCTGCAGTTAAGGAAAACAAACATTAGAGAATTGTAAGAGACCAATAAAGGAGGGAAATAAAAAGTTATTTGTTACTGTGTTTCTCCCGGGAGAATCTATGTTTAGTGAAATATTCAGTTGCAGCAATTTAATCTAAGATAACTTTTTAGTGGATTAAAGCAACTTTAGAAACTGAAAACATACACATTGAGTTTTTTGTTTTTGTTTTTTAATTTAATAATTCTTAAGACTTGAAAGCTTCAAGTTAGGAATCTGGCCCAAATACTAACATCAGCAAACTTGTTCTGCAAGAAATCACAAACCAGTATCACTTAGGATCTTTTAAAATTGCTGGTTTTGATGCAATTAGAATTGCTGTTTCTTCCAGGCTGTGTGCAAATCAAGCTTCCTACCTCTTCCAGCAGAACAGATTTATGTTTCAGTTTTTTCTCATACTGTTCTTTTAGCTCTGCCATAGCCTTGGTTTTGCTTTCCTCCAAACTGTGCAATTGTTTCTCATATTCCTCCTCCATCTTCTGGGATTTCACCTGAAGCTCCTGGTATTTCTCATTTTCCATTGAGAGTTTCTGACTACTGTCAGATTCTGTTAACAGGAAACATATGGAATGGATAAAACTAATAGAAAAGAAGACTGAATCCTATCCTTCTGCAGCTATCACTGCCTTATTATTTACTGTCTTTTTGGCAGCTGGTTGCAATAAATTACAAGTAGAATTACAAGTAAAATTACTTTCTTCATCAGATATACAGGGGCTTTAGACTCTGTAGCCATGCAAAATTGACAACTAATTTAGGCACTTCCTTGGGATGACAACCATGGCAGAGCTGTATGAGCTCAACTGCTACAAAGTATGAGTAGGCAATGGAGTCATTTATGGGGGGACTCCTTGGTACTCATTTGCAGTATTTTTATCTTGACTACAAATCTGGAGTCCAGGTATTTCCAGGCTGTGTGCACCTCATTGCTGAATTGAATGACTGCACTGTTCTTGCGCAGTGAGCTGTGCATAAAATTAATGAAGAAATTACTAATCTCAAGTACTAAACCTCAAAGACACAGGGTCCATGTGCATGTTCTCATCATAGGCACATGTATGGTGCAGTTTAGACACCCATTTGGTCTGCACCAAATACCTACATGACATACATCCATTTTTCTTTACACCTCTGCTCTAGTAATCCCTCCCTGTGACTTGCTGTCAATACAGCATTTCCCCCAGTTTCCAGTTACAAACATTTGTTACAGTCTAACCTAGCTGTTTCACCTCCTTGGCCTGTTTATCTATCAGCTCAGACAGTTGAACCTCGTGTTGTAGCTTCTGTTTTTCTTTCTCTTCCTGTAAAATCTGGGATAAAAAATAAGAAAAATACATTTTAAGTTGAAACTAGACAAAGCAATGTCCAAATTGTTTGTGCTATTGCCCTTGGTGAGGAAAGCAGAAATGCGTTTGAAATCTCTCACCAAAACTGAGATGCCATGTGTCACTAAAACAAGTTTTCCCACATATTAGTTTGTTTTGACAAGTTAAGCTAAGGAAAAGCAGCAAACAGTGTTCATATAACACAAGTTACTGATCCTAATCTAAAAAGAAAAGTTTGTGAGCTACAAAAGCCTCCACTCCTTTATGTGTGCCTGCCTGAGGAGAATTTGCAGTTCCATAAATTATTGTCCACATATTAAAGTTCAAGCTGCTTCCTGTCTCACTTGAAGCAACTTTGAGGTCCTAAAATGCTGACATTTGCATACTATGACATAAACCTAAGCAAGAGTGAATTTTAAATGCCATTTGCTTGAAATGTCAGCCTGCCACTGTAAATTACTTAATCTTCTATAAAAGCACAAAGAACTGGAGCAAGAAAATAGCTGAGAAATTTCCCAGAGATGCTAGGAATTGTACCATAGTTACAATATTTTCACCTTTTTCTTGCAACAACTTCATGGGTCTTTCATAAACAAAAATATTCCATTTTTCTGATGGATACAACTAGAAAATTTAGCCCTTTCAGTCTAAAGCTGTCATTCAGTTTAATCTTAACATGTACTGATACGTGGACAGGAAGTACAACTTGCCTGCCTAGAGAACCATATTCATCTTCAAAGGTATTTGTTTACAAGCCTATAATCAACAAGTCAGAGAATTTTCAGCTGAGATTATTATAAATATATAGCCAAGCACTACTTATCAAAAGACCTGAAGAACCACAGAAAAACACCCAGCAGAGATAAAACAGAGGTAGAGGAATCCACAGAGGAATTTAAATGGTTTTCTTGTACAAGGTTATGTTCTACAAAAGAGAGAAAAATAGAAAAGTTTAAACTCAAGTTATTTAGACAAAAAAACCCACAATGAGACAAGCCAAAGAATCTGATAAAATACTTGAAGAAAACATTAAAATGAATAATTAAACCTCCTCAAAAAATGAATATCAAAAACCTACTGGAACAATTGTAGGGCCAAAAGACAAGAGAGGTATAAAGAGAGAACTTGGAAATTACAAACCTGCAAAATACTACAACTAATAAGTCACCTGACAAGCTTTCATACTGAACTTCTTTATGTGGAGTCAAACAGAAATACTGCTTAAAGGCACTATGCACAACTCGACAAAATCAGCAGTAACAAATCACCAGAACAGGACAATATTCACCCAAAAACTCAAAAAGAACATGAGGTTGACAGGATTGAATCATGTGATATATAATCCCTTACTTTGAGCACTGCCAAAGAAATTATTACTGGATCCCTTGCCTTCTATATCTAAAAGAAGTCCATAAATATAACAAATTACAGGTCAGAAATCCAATGTGGGCACCAGTCAGATGGACAGAATAGCATTATCAGACACACATAAACAAGACACTGGGAAGAATTATCATAGCCTTTGCTTTTCAGGGGAGCCCTGCTTCATGACCACAAAGAAATCAATAAGCACACAAACAGAAGACATGCAGGGAATAAATTTTACTTTTGTTTTCAAAAAACATACAAGAAACCTCAGCAGATGTTCTTAAAAATCTAAGCAGACAGGACATAAAGAAGGCAGCATTAAGGAAAATAACTGTTAGATCCTGCAGCAGCTGCAGTCTTATATGGAAAGGAGCTTTTAAGGCACAGTGCCATTTCTACTACTGATCCTCAGGCTCAGGCAGTATTTTTTGTGCTGGTTTTATGTGGAAAATACTTACAGGGTACCTAGGAGAACTCTTGCATCCCCTTGTACGTGTAAGATACTTAACTCAAAGATAGTTTCATGCTTTATAAATATCAAGAACATCTTAAACTGGAAAGGAATGCTTTCAGATGCTGTATGGCATTTCTACATATGTAATGCAAGCTTGAATTCAACTCTTCAGTGAAAGATTTCTTAGTATTTGGTTCTGCAACATGAATCATACCTGGTGTTTAGTTTTAAGGAAGTCTATTTCCTGAGTGAAATTCTCTTCCAATGATTTTATTTTTTCTTCACAGTATATGTCCTTGAGACGTAGCTCGTACTCACTTTCTGTCTGTAGATCTCTCACACAATTCTGCAGGTCTAGTATTGCCTGAGTCTGTTAGGACATGGATGAGAAAACAGTTTTAAGGGAGGGAATATTTGCTGTTAACAACAGCTTGTTAAGGATGTTTTATTTACATGCACATATTTATGAACAACAGCCTTCACAGAGAATCTTCAGACAGATGACCAAGAAGTCCTAGAACTAAAGTTCCTTTGCTGTCTTAGAAGATAGTTTATAGCAATGCATCTTCTGACTTCTCTATTCCATTAGAAGTGCTTTCAAGAGATTGGGGAACGTATTAGAGAAAAATCTAGTCCACACTTGCTGTTTGTACACTGCTGTTTGCATATTGACAAGCCACTGCAGCAACTGGCTGTAACCTCTTTGACCAAAGCCATACTGGACTGGCTGGTAACAAGCATTATGCAAGTGCAATTGACAGAAATCCTATGGTTTATGTTCACAAGTTGCTCCTCCTACCTTCTCATCTATATCTGATCTCATGATCAACACTTCCTCAGCATACTCGAGTTTCTGCTCTTCTTTCACTTCCCCAGGTTCTTTATCATGCACTCTCCAGATAAATACACAGCCATCCTCTGAGGCAGTCAGTAGAAATTGGTCATCACTTGTTACTGTCATCTTAGAAGGAAGAGACAACAAAATAATAGAGGAGACATGGAAGAATGGAGATACAATTTTATTTTACACCACATTTTTCTCCCCACCCCCACACTCTCTTCATTTCTACCCCAGAAATTCAACAGTGGAAATAATAACACAGTCCCACTACCAACATTTTGATTATGTTTCCTACTCCTGTTCCACTCTGGTTGAAATAATAAAGGGAAGGGAAATAATATGTGTAGATACTGGATCTGCTTCTGGTCTCAAAGCCATAGCACGATTTTTGAAAACCTGAAACAGAAAAGACCTTTCTAGACTATTATAGCACAGATAGGCCATTTATATGACAACTCCAAAGGTCTCTAGTGTTTTTCTTTGAGAAGTTGTGTGAACAACAGATGGCTAAATGTTTTCTTTTGAAACTACAACTAAGCTCACCAAGAACTATGTAGTAATAACTGCTGCCATGTCCTCCAGACCTCCTGTGGCTGCCTGATCTTGCATAGAGTACCTGGGAGCTGATACAGCTTACAGCTGAGGTGAGAGTTACAGTAATTTAAATTCATATTCTAATATTGGACTGTGTGGGGATAAGTCAAGGTGCTGTAGTTGACAGTGGTACTTAAAATACCAAATTTATGACCAGCTTTAACAACACAGAACATGTGGCTTCCTGGAGAATGGGGACCTACCAAAGCACACTGAGAGAGCTGGCACAAGTGCTCACTGAGACCTTTCAGTCGTTTGGCAGCAGTACTGGCTCACTAGAGAAGTCTCAGCCCTCTGGAAATGGGTGAATGTGATTCTCCTCTACAAGAGAAAGTGGCACAGGAACCATCCCTGGAGATATTTAAGAGATGTGCAGATGTGGTGCTTGAGGACATGGTTTACTGTAGACTTGGCAGTGCTGGGTTAACAGTTGCACTTGATGACCTAAAAGCTCTTTTCCAACCTAAAAGATTCTATGACAAAATTACCTTCCTCTTTCCAGAAGGAGCTGTATCAAAGTTCTCCATCCAATATGCCATGTTTTGTAATCTGGTGTAAGCCACTTTTCAGTCAACAGCTTATTCCCTGACATATCTAGAGACAGGACTCCTATGAATGCTGTGCTATTCATTCTCCATGTGCAGACTCAGCCTTAATTTTAACATACTATGAATTGAGAAGGAAAATCAGCCCTAAAAAAGGAGCTGTGTGCAGCTGGCATTACAGGGAAAAGAAAGAACTCTGTGCTACCTTTGTAACAGCACCTGCATGGGCCTGGTACTCGCTGAAATTCTTCTTCTGAGTTAATGGGTACTTCATAGCTCGAATTGTCCCCAGGGAGGTCCCAACAAAAACCAGGCACCCGGAACGCGAGACAGCGACAGTGGTGTAAACAACATCACGGGCAGGCACCTCATGCTTGATCTACACATCAACCAACAGCACAACCATCACACAAACCTCACATTACAGCACATATTTGATTACATACTGCATGAGCAATTGTTATACCTCTGCCTGCAGCACATAGTGCAGTTAAAAGAATCTATATGCCTATAAAAGTATAGCCTCAACAGTAATTAGTACTAAGTTTTATACATTGAAAAAAAATTGTATTTAAGATAAATATTTGATATAAAATCTCTATATTTGTTATAGTTACCAGTATTAAAATTTCAGGCCAAGCTGATGTGTGATCTAAAAGATGTAATGGTTTTCACATACAATTTACTACTTTTCTGGGAAAAAATGCACGTAGATACAGTGATAGATGAGATACACTTGTATTTCAGCAGAATAGTTGATGCAATATTGCCTAGCTAGTTTGTTACTTGGATTAGCAGATTTCTAGGTGAATGCAAGTAAAATGACAAAAACACGAAACTACAACAAAATCTCAGCTTTCATTGTAAAAGACAGAAGAACACAAAAGTGTCAGTAAATACCACAGCTTTCAAAACCAGACTGATTCCTATTTACCAAATGGATGCTAAGGAAAGCAAAGCACCAGTACCCTCCCCAGAGAATGTAGCAAAATCCAGGAGTGTTTCTTAGCTCACCGAAGACTCTGAAATTTCTTTGAGAGTTTGGTCAGATCCAACAGCAAAGATAATTTTGGCATCATAAGTCAGGGAAATGCTGCTGTAGATGCAGGTCTTGAGCACACACTCTGACTCCTTTTTACCTGTCAACAAATTCCACTTATACACAGCACCATGTGTGTCACAGGAGACAAGTTTAGTGTCATCTGAACTCCATTTAATAGCATGTACCTGGCAAAAGTAAAACACACCAAGGAGCTTGATGTTAGATTACAGACATACAGCATGGAGTCATTGTACTGCTAAAGCCATGACAACTTAGAATCATACTTCAAAGTCTTACTGAAAAGCCTCTAAATGTTTCTCAACCAATTCTATTTTAGCATTAGAAAAAACCAAAACCAGTAAGAACTACTTCGTGAACACGCTATCAGGAAAAAGTTCATTTCAATATGGAGTAGTAGATTTTATTTTTATGGTGTATTACTGGGATATTTTACTTTGTTCAGCCAGCTGCCAACTGTTCACTTTCAATTTAAGGGCAGACTTTTCAGGTGTATCTAGTGCATGAACATTTTGCCTTCTGACCAATGAAAACTAAGTTTTCTATTTCTGTTTTTACATTTTGGGGCCATCTCAAGATCCAAAATTGTACTTTACCTCTTCAAAATGCATCTTAGCAACTAGTTAATATGTTAATAAGTGGTACTGTGTAAGATTTGTTTACTTACCATCCCAGTATGTCCTTTCAGATTAGTAACATTCTCAAAGGTGATGCCGGAATAAATTTGAATCACATTTCCATTAACTATAGCAAAAAGATGGCCTCCATTACTGAAAGAGCACTACAAAAAGAACATAACCACCCATTACTGTAGATGGAATGGATAAAAACACTCATGCATTGAATTTCAATTACATCCTTTAATATCAAATTGTTGCATGAAAAGAAAACTCTATTACATAATTAGCCACTTACAGTTTTCTTAATCAATGCTTTCCCCTGTAAAATTCAGTTCTGGAGTATTTCTAAGCAAATTATCCCTTCTGCTGCTTCCCACACACATCAGCCTCTGGGACTGTTCTCCAATAGTCAGAATCAATTTCTCTAAGCTTTGATATAGGATATCACATATAGTACTAGGATGTATTGGAGAAGTTTTTATTTTCTGTCATGTTCTTCAGCACTCTGCTCCACATAACTCTCCAATTTCATTTTTGCACCACTCCTTACCTCTCTACACTTTTTCACAGCAAACTCCTTGAAAACATGCATGTCCTCATACAGGAGACTTATAAATCGTAGTTTGTCAGAAAACCCAACCAAACAGAAAAAGCCAGTGGGATGAAGGGATACTGTGTGTGCTTCCTCCTGATATTCCTTACACAGCTCCAAAGTGCTGAAAGAGAAAAACATTGAGCAGTATGGAATAGCACAAACTCCCCATTGCACACTTGACAGGATATTATCTGGCCCAGCAAGGATGCCTGCAGCTAAAATCTGACTCTGCCTTGTCCTTGAGGAAGTGTGTTGTTGTTCAGGTAAGTAATGATCACAGAGATGTTACAGGAAACAAAAGCAAATTTGACTTTCTGGTTCACAGAGAAGGTGTGGGAGGTGCAAGAGCAAAACCTTGTGTACTGTAATATAATGAAGAAGGTAAATGAACTGCTGATTGCAATCCTACACAAGCATCTCTTGAGATTTGTTTTTCCCTCCAGGGAACCTCAAGAGCTGGAGTCATTTTGCTTAAGATCTATGCCTAAGAAGCAGGATATGGGGCAACAGTATCTTAAGACAAAGCTGAATGAAAGAGTTTTTTCCAAAACACAAGGAGTCTGACACAGAAATAGCTTAATAGAAAAGGCTTTGTATTCTTTTGGCACCAGTTTTAAAGGCACTGCATATTCACACTCCCCAAATCATGTCAGTAATACCATTTACATCCCACACTACACAAGAATTTTACCAGAACAACACTCTCATTCATATGAGATTGCTGCTGTTGCCTCCTAAATACAATATACAAAAAAGCAAGAGGTAATAACAAATACAAACAACTCTTTTACTTTTTCTTGTAATTCCAGATGCGGACAGATCTATCCAGGGAACACGTAGCAAGGATGGGTTTCCAAGTACACATGTCCAGACCAGTGATTGAATTAGAATGCAATGGGAAATTCATATATGAAAAATAAGATATCTTCTCCTGAGAAGGAATGAGAACATTAAGAAATCACAAATATTTCATTGAAGGCAGTAAGGCAGAGTTCATTTTTACATTTATACATTTTTCACTTATCTATCATAGGTCTTTGCATACAGTTGTAGAATAGATTTCAGGGAACCACTTCATCCTTTCACTGCCCTGGTCTGAACATAAAAATGCTAAAAGCCTGACATTGTTAGTTTTAAGTTCAGAATTAATAATCAAGAAAAGTGATGCAGGGCAGAGCTGTGAGAGTAGAACATAATTGTAGGTATATAAAAAAAAGGCAAGTTAGATAAATAAATAAAACCGGACCTGCAAGAATTCAGTTAATACCTTCTGGTCAGGCAGATGCTAAAAAAAAAGTCAAGTGCTGAGTGATAGAAAACTTCACTAGGATGTCTAGCTACCACATGCTGGAAGTGAAGCACCAATAAAATGTTAGGCTGCATGTGGAAACAGAACCCCTAACTACAACCCCTCTTCCTGTAAAGATCTTTCCTTATGTCTGCACACAGGTTAGGTACTCAATTCCATAAAAGTCTATTTAATGATAATACATTTTCCACTTATCCTTGTATTATTTAATTCCTTTAGAGTAGGGAAGGTTTTTCATTATGTTTGTATTTCACAGAGAGGTTCCACTTCTAGCTAAGGCTTCACCAACTATCATTTTAGAGTAGAATGAGATTCCCATGGCTCTTCCAGCTTTATCATTGCAATAAAGTTTCTGCCTATTAAAGTGGAGCATGGACCACAGAGTTACATGGAGGATATCTCAGTTAAAGCCTTAGTGAAGTGGTTCAGCAGTAACAGGCACTCTTTAATGGTCTTAAGTGTTCTTTATCCTCCTCCCGAATAGCATCAGGTACTCACAGGGAGGGAGCCTTGAGCAAGGGGCTACAGAAATACTGCCCTCAGAGAAGCACACTGAGCACTTCACATCTTGAGCTTTAGGGGTTCATTTGAAGGATTTAATGGGAACACATCACAGAAAACAACACTGACTAGCCTGTATCATTACAATACTGGACATGAAAGCTGTGCAATGTGACTGAACTGCACTTACCCTTATAAGTTTGTTGGAGAACATAGTAAACATGTAGAGCTGATTTTTATTTGTGCTAACAACCATCACTTCCTCAGAGGGGCTGAAGCATATCCATGTAATGTCCTGTCTGCTTGACTTTTTTGGGTCAGTGCTGAACAAGTCCTGAGGCAGCTGCACAAGAAAGGCATGCTGTGGGATGTGCCAGGTTTCCATATTTTGGCAGTAGGCATACACACACAAACTTTTGCTGTAATGCTCCTCTAATAAGCACATACATAATATCAGCAAGACAATCTGGATATTTAATGGCATATAAATACTGCAAGGCACGGAACAGAGGACAATCTAATGGCATTCATAACATTACAGCTGAAATAAAGTATCAGGGGACATCTCAGCAGTAATATGAAGTACTGCACTAAACAAGAATTAAAATGGTAGTAGAAAAATATCAAGAAAAAAAACCTAGCAAGTGTCAGAATGAGAACTGCCTAAAAATTGTGATTAGAATAACAATTCTTTGTAATGTATGATTAAGGTAGAAGTCTTATTAGAGGATCTCATGCACAGGGAAGATCCAACCTTTTAGAGTGAGAGTATGAAGTCTTGACCAGTTCATTAGAGTTAAATGTTCTTATCCAGAGATTTCAGTAGGTCAATGCATACAGTTTGCTATAGAACATTTAGAAGGATTATTTAAGAGTGCATAGGTCTCATGACAGCTCTAATAAATACCTGAGGGAGAAAAGCCTCTACTTGGAAAAAAACAAGCAGCCAAGTTCTTCAAAACTGATGTAAACTATCTCTTAGTCCTGAAAGTCTCCACAAATAAAAGTTTCTTAAAGGTTTCCTGAAGTTTAGCAGCCTCAAAGCACATTTTATATGTGGGAAGGAAACATACAGAACTACCATGCAGAAGGTCATCAGGCACTATCAGTGTGACCTTTGGCAACTCCATTTGACATCACTAGGATAGTTAGCTAATCCTTACAATACAGTTTAGCAGTGTGCTAAAAATTATTATTAATAACTAAATCAGAAACACTCACAGTTCTCTAAACAGGGCTCTGCTGCATATTGCTTACAAAAGGTTTTTCCCTCCTTACCCAGACTTCTTGTCTCTCCTCATAGGCCTCCTCTTCAGAGATCTTCTCAAACAGAAGAACAACTCCTGGGCTAGGTGAACATGCAAAGCCTTTGGAATAGGCTGCAACTGCAGATATTTGAGGCAAAGAATGCTGTTGTAAACTGGTATCTTCACAGGTCGCTCCACTAGAAACACCAGAAATGCAATTAGGAAATGCATAAAGACTTAAAAATAAAGAAGCACAAATCAAAAAATGCTTAGCAGCAACTGACAACATGAACTGGACAGGAAGGAAGGAACTAATCTGCCTGCAAAAGCATGGAACTATTATTAATAACATTGAAGAGATTTACCTCTCATGTTCTTCTGTTGTACCTTCTTCTTGTTTCCTGGGTGGTTTCCTGTACTCCAAATTTTTCTCCCAGTACAGGTCTCCAGTCTCAAACAAGCTAAGTTTGCCTGTGTCAGTGCCACATATAACTTCCTCCGCAGACAGCCAGGCATGGCACAAGTAGTTTTCTGGCTCTCCCCTTTGTAAATTCATCTGCTTTAAATATCCTTCACTGTACTTGAAAAGTTTAAAATAGCCATTTCCAGTGATACAAACCTGGGTATTGTCTTGAGGATTAAAGCTCACCTATGGAACAAAAAAGAGAGGAAATATTTTTTCCAACTATGTTCAAATAAGCAATTATTATACCTGTTCTGAAGACTTTCTATACCAGATACAGGAATACAAACAAGGGAAGATGGTTCAGGGAAACATACAAGGATACCAAAGAGAGTAAGAATTAGCCACCATAACTACATACTGCAGTTTTCTGCCTTTCAAAAGTGTGTCTATTAAAATTAAATTACAAAAGTAAGGCCAAAATACCTCTTTACTACTGATGAACAAATTTTTCCAGTAGCAAGCTTCTTGAAAAGTTGGACCATTTGTTCTCAAAAGGCCAGGAATAAGTTCTGTATTCCTGTGTTTCAAGCTAACAGTATGTACATGAATTCACATAATTAGGTGTTTTATTTGTGAAAATGATGGAATAGCCATCTCAATATTCAACATGGATAGGAAGGGTAGTTTAAGTTAATTTTTTATGCTTTATGGGACTTTACATAGCCAGAGTCTTTACATTCCCCTCTCTTTAGGAATTGAGCTCATGAATTCAGTGGTTGAGCCAACCTCTGCTTGTAGCTGTACCCCAGAAAAAATGTCAGCTGGAGTTCAACCAACACATGGACTGAAAGTGTCAGACCTCCCTACATGAACGAACCTAAAAAGGGGCACCCAAACCTGAATGCAGAAATCATTTGCGTGCCATCAGCCTGCTCCTAGCCACTCTTCTCCTCCGCTCTGAACACAGAAAACTGCAGGAAGGAAAAGGTGCACTGAGAGCTTCCAGAAGTGTGTTACTACTACTGGGCACAGCCCATCTATTTAGTGTGTGCTTTTGCAGGGACACAAGGGACACATTGCACACTCAGTGCCTGTTATACTGGCCTCATAACATAGATCTCATGTGATGTAAGAGAATCTCATGTGATATAACAGATACAGACATGAGAATGTCTATTATGGCTCAGTGCAAAACTTTATTTAGCCTAGTGTCCTATTGCTGAGGGAGGCCAACAGCAGATGTCAAGAAAGGTCAGAGAAACTGTATGGATTCTACAGTGTGGAGCCCTCTCCTCCTCTTGCCGTGGATAAAAAGCCATGCGGCCACGGGAAAATGCACTGTGCACACGTCCTGAAGGATGATCGCATGTCCAAAAGTTTGATCGTTTTATCCAAAGTTTTGAAAAGTGGAGTATGGTCCCGAAGAACCAGTCAGCTGAACGGGAGTGTTAATAGCGATGGGCAGGGCCGCTGGCACAGCTCGGGCTCGGCAGCTCTGGGAGCCGGCGGGGCTGGAGCGCTCCCTTACCTGGCAGGGGCCGTCACCCGCGGCCGGGACGCGGACGGTCGCCACCAGCTGCTGCTTCTCCCAGAGCCAGCAGGCGAGGTGGCCCTCGGGGGGGGCGGTGGCGGCCGCCAGGAGCTGGCTGTCGGGGGAGAAGGCGAGGGACACCGCCTGCCGCGCCGGCTGCTCCTCGGCGGCCAGCACCTTGCGCCGCCGCGCCCGCTCCGCCGACAGCTCATAGACCGCCAGCACCGGCCGCTCCCCCGCCGCCTCCGACAGCGCCAGGAACCGCCGGTCGGGGCTCACGGCCAGCGCCTGCACGCCCCGGCTCTTCTTCGTGCCTGCGGGGAGCAGAGCGGTCAGGGCGGGCCGCAGTCGGGACCGGCACCGGGGTTAGGGTCGGGAGCGGGGTCGGGGCCACCTGGGATGAAGTTGTGCCACTTGTGATCGATGTGCAGCCGCAGGCAGCCCGCCCCCGCGGCGTGCAGCACCACCCGCTCCTCCAGGAAGCAGACACCGCCGGCCACCCGCGGCCGGCAGCCGAACACGGCCACGGGCAGCACGGCAGCCGCCGCCGCTGCCGCCGCCGCCTCCGCCTCCGCCATGCTGCCGCGGCCGCCGTCGCCGTGGCGACCGCGGCCCCGGCGGCCCCGGAAGCGGCGGCGCACGCGGCCGGAAGCGGCGCACGGGGCGGCAGCGATGGCGGCGGCGGTGGCGCGGCGTGGCTCCTTCTCGGACTCCGGCTCGGACTCGGAGGATTCCTCGCTCTCGGACTCGGAGGTGAGCCCGTGGCCGCCGTGGCGAGCCCGGTGGGGAAGGGCCGCCCGTTGCCGGCGGCGCGGACTGACCGAACCCTTTCACAGCTCCAGGAGGCCTTCGCGAAGGGCGCGCTGAAGCCGGGGCTCAACGTGGTGCTGGAGGAGCAGCCGAAGCGGCGCAATGACACGGTGAGCGGGAACGCGGGGACCGGGAGAAGCCCGGCCAGGGCCGCGGCCCCAGCGCCGGGAGCGGGGCGCGGGGGCCTCGGCGGGGCCGCGGGCCGGGGCCGGGCGGGCTCGGGCGCTCTGCGCTGCGGGGCGGGCTGCGGGTGTGCCCGGCGGCCCCAGGAGCAGCCCGCGGGGTCTCTCGGCCGCTGAGCCGGGCCAGCCGTGCGGATCGGTCGGTGCGCGGCTGTGCTGAGCTGCGCTCCTCTCACAGGACGGCCTGAAGCAGTGCCTGGCCGAATTCAGGCAGCAGCTCGCATGGGTGGAAAGGCTGGACGTGACTCTGGGCCCGGTCGCGGACCCCGTTTCTCAGAATGCTTCTACGTCTGATGCCGTTGACCCTGAGAATGATTTCCAGAGAGAGATGAGTTTGTAAGTGTCAAAAAGACATTTCATGTCGTGTCTCACTGTATTGCTGCCTTTTTGGAGTTATGTTTCTTTCACCAGTATGCTGCAGACTGCTGCAGACTGCCACACTGGCTGTCACTGTGATACTCTTGGCCATGTTATTTTACATTCGATGGCTCTGAATGTTTTCCAAAACAACTACAAATTAGTGCTAGTATATTCAACTCCTGTGTGACTTAAAATGAATAATTTCTCTCTTCATAGCAGACTTCATTGTTTGCTGAGTTAATTTAAAAGCTCCTTGACGGCAGGAGTAACGCTTTAACACAAGATACTGACTTTTTTTTGTGGGTTTGTTTTGGTGCTCTTACAGTTCTCTTGTTTTGCTTTGCCTTTTATATTCCAACATAAAAAGCTATAACTGGAAATAAGATAAATATATATGTGCAAGGCATAAATGTTAATGTTGTACTGGCACCTAAGCTGCTTTCAGTAGCACTGAATGTTTGCTAGACCAGACCAATGCTTGCTAGATCCCAGTGTCAGCCTGCTTGTGTGAGCAGTTTGTGTCAGCACTGTGAGGTGCCCAACAGGCAGTGACAGGGCCGGGGCAGTGACAGGGCTGGTGCAGTGACAGGGCTGGTGCAGTGACAGGGCTGGGGCAGTGACAACTGGTGCAGTGACAGCTGGTGCAGTGACAGGGCTGGGCAGTGACAGAGCCAGTGCAGTGACAGCTGGGGCAGTGACAGTGGTGCTGTGCTCTCTCCCAGCTACCGGCAGGCACAGGCAGCTGTCCTGGAGGCCCTCCCTCGGCTCCGTAAGCTCCAAGTTCCCACAAGGAGGCCGGATGATTACTTTGCAGAGATGGCCAAATCAGACCAACAGATGCAGAAGGTACGTGCAGGGAATGGTTTTCTTTCAGTGTAATGTGTGTGTTTTAACCTGGGGTAGGGATTAAACTTAAGGTGTGATGTGTGAGTACTGACCTTCATCGCTTTTCTGATTCCTGTGACAATGACTGGGTTTGAAACTTTGTGACAGGAGATTTCTTTTTGTTTAGGTGGGGATTTTTATAACAGGTTGGATGATAAAGTAGAAAAACATGATTTATATTTTGTCCTGAATGTGTTTAATATTAAAAAGGGAGAATTTTTCTTAGTAGGTGTGTTAGGGGATGTAAAGTTACCTGTGGTTTTGCTCTTTGTCATAAAACTTGCTGTGGCTTTAATGCAATCCTTTTTTTCCTATTTAAGTATCACCTTTTGTTTATTGTCAGTGTGCTCTGGTTTTCTGTGATTTTAAATTGTATGTTATTGAATGAATCTGTTTTGGATAGGAAATTAGATAGATGTAGGAAATAAGTCTTTCACACATTCCCCTTTTGACTGTAGTCTTTGTTCAAAATTCAACTCTATATTTTGGTTTAGATTTGGAAAAAAGTCTGCATTGTATAAGTTAAAGAAACATGAGCTGGAGTCTAGTTGGGCGTTTCCTGTATCATTGGGTCACTGTTCTGCTTTCTGATGGAACCTTTCTGGATAAGCTGTAGAACGATAATTAGCTGGTACTAAGGCTTAAGTAAATCCTGCACATTACTGTTCTCTTCTGTTGCTGATTTCATTTGAAGAACAGTTTTTATCTCCTACTGGAGTCACTAGACTGAATCACTAAGATCTGTGTTGAAATCTTTGTAATTCTCCATAAGGCAGCATCCTTCTAAAAATGTTTGTGAACAAGGAAGGAGCAGAAAAAATGTTTTCTACAGGACTGTTTTCTTCTCTTCAGTGCTTTACTTTTAGTAATGACAAGAAAGAAACTATTAAGTCTTTTTGTACACCCAAATAGACTGACATGATACTCTCAGTTCCATTAGAGCCCATTATAAGGCTTTTTCTTCTCTCTTGTGTGAATTTTGTCTTTTTAGCCAGATTTTGGCTATAGATCAGTACAGAAATGATAAAATTCTCTTTTTTTCTTTTGTGTTACTGATAAATTCTGTTCTATTCCCTAATTAGATTCGACAGAAACTTAAGAGTAAACAGGAAGCAATGGAAAGGTCTGAGAAGGCAAAACAACTCCGTGCAATGAGAAAATACGGCAAGAAGGTGAGGAGCTACAAAAGGGACATGTGCAAAAGGATTTGTGACCAGAATTTGGAGCCTGACTGGGGGGCTGGAAAAGGGTAGCCACCGGAGTCTGGCTAAAACACACAGAAGCTGTCTAGTCTCCTGTCTAGCTGCTCTGAAGGAAAACAGAACAAAACACAGGATACCTTAAAAAAAAGTATGGGACACTGCAAGGAACAACACTAACATTCTGCTTCTAATCTCAGGTGCAAGTTGAGGTTCTGCAGAGGAGACAGAAGGAGAAGAAAAATATGTTGAATGCAGTCAAGAAATACCAGAAAGGTAAAGTCAACCTGTCTAAGAGAACTAATGTGTAAGGGCAGTAGTGGTGTGTGAGCAGTGTAGGGCAGTGTGATGTGGTCACTGTGTCTGTAGTTCTGGGCTTTGAGGTTGGAAAGCTGCTGCTGTGCAGAATTGTGTGCCTGTGGCAGTGAAAAAGCTCCCAAGCAGCTGTTCTTCAGTGAGGGTGACCTGTTGCTATTACTTGCTTAGACTGAAAATTTGTCTTTTCTGTGATGTCTTCACTCTTGCAGGTCTCTCTGACAAGCTGGACTTTCTAGATGAAGAGCAGACGTCATCTCAAGGGAATAAAAAAGGCAATGCAAGTCAACGGCCAAAGAAGGGGTGAGACCAGAAACGAGAGAGTTAAACACAGAATGTCTGATTTTTCAGTCTTTTTAGGGGATAATTTTGGGGAACTGGAAAACTGTTCTATTTAGTGTTAAAGTAAGTCCAAGGTGGTATTCTGTCCCTAAAGAGAAGAAAACTATGGCCAAAATGGAGCAGAGACTGAAATGTGATTTCTGCATCTTTGTTAAGAGGGGAAAGGTTTATGATGGTTGATGGGATACCATGAGTATATATCTGTGTGTCTTGAGAGCTTTCTGGAACAAGGAATGTAGGCAGTGATGCTGGTTGGTTGTTTTTCAGGCCAAATGCCAAAAGACGATACAAAAATCAGAAGTTTGGTTTTGGTGGGAAGAAGAAGGGCTCAAAGTGGAACACAAAGGAGAGTTTTAATGACGTATCCAGCTTCCAGGCAAAAGTGGCTCACAACAAAGGCCCAGGAAAAGGAGGAAGAGGAGGAAAAGGAGGGAAAAAAGCTCTTAATGTAAGTAAAATGTTGCATGAAAACGATCCTGGTTGGCTTGGAAGCCAGTCCATGTCTGGCAGGGAGAGATGAGTGCATGATATGTGTCTCCAGCATCAGGAAGGGATGCCTGTCTTTGGGAGCTAAGCATAATTCAGTTACTAACAGAGTTGGGGACAGTGGTTTGGTATCAGCAGGAAAATCAGAAAGGGAGTTAAAAAGTGCTGTTTGCTACCTGTGTGCCAAAACCTTCTTGTCCAGACGTTCTGACAAATACCCTCTCTTTGGTATCCTCCCCAAGCTACAGAGCTAAAACAAAGATGGAGAACATGAAAATAAAAATCCAAATCTTTTTTTTTTTGCAGAAGAGACCTGGAAAGAGAGCAAGGCAGAAAATGAAGAACAGAGCCCGCTAAGAGAACTGTGCTCCCCAGAGGGGTTCCTGTGTTTCTTTGTGTTGCAAGATGTGTTTCTGCTGTCATCAAGCAGTTAACTGTGGAGCAAGCTGGATGCTTTGCAGTGGCAAGGAAAAAAAGCCAGTGGAAACAGTGCCTTATCACTTAATTTTTTTCTTACTGTCTGTTTTGTTGAAGGATTGTTTTCTACTTAAACCTGTTTTGTGTGAATGCATTAAGTGGTTTGCACAGAACTATGTGTAACTCATGTTTAGCTGTTCAGTGAATGGTGGCTGAAGTCTGCCCTTTGTTCCCTTCATTCTGACAGCTTTTTCCACCACTACTGTTAAGATGAAGTTGGTGACCTTGAGTTCTGGGTCATGTTGCCAATGTCAAAATAAGAAGTCTGAAGCTTTTTGAGATGTTAGAGTGGTTTTTTAGATTATCTGTGTAGATGGGTATAGGAACAGCAATGAGACAAATACAGAGCCTTACAGATAGGTTTATTTGTGACACTGTTGTCAGGTTGTAAATCTGGACAGATTGAAGTTCTCTTTCCTATTGTCTCTCACTAGAAATCTTCCAGACTTGCTAGATAACAAACAGGACCTAACACATTAGATGTTGTTAACATCTATCTTTGGCTTTACTCCTGGCCTTTAGGCATCTGTCCCCGTGGTGCAGGGTAGCCAAGGATGGTAATTTCAGTTGTCTGGCGTGGGAAGTAGAATCTGGTATCACTGCGGTCAAAAGGAACCTGGCAAACAAGAATCAGAAACAGTCATGGGCTTTTACTAAAATCAGTAGTAGGAGTCCCTCCTGGGGGAGTGATGTGTGGTGTCCTGCTGCTGAGGAATGTCCAAATGACAGAAGAGCAGGGTACCACTGTACTGTTCTCTGCTTTGTTATGGTCAAACCTGCTGAATAAGGAAAACTTAACAAATTAAACATCATCAGTTCTGACTCTAAGAATCAAACTTGCTTCCCTACACACAAGTTTAGTTGCCTCCACCCTGCCAGAGTAATCCTACCAGCAGTTCCTTAATACCACAGAGCCTAGCTGGGATGTCTGTCTCCACTCTTGTCATTACTAACTACTTTACTTGATATATAATATGAAAAGTCAATGAAGACTGTCTTATTTTCTTATTTATCTTAGTTTTCTTTATAACAGGCCAAAATTTGCCTTTCCCAAAACGCTAATTGCAAAGTCAGTCATCATCACAACTGTTTGCCAGATATGATTGATGTCTCAGCTTGTTAATCATATTTCTTCTCCTCCTGTTTATTCACAGTTCCCCAGATGAATCCTCACTGGTGTATCTGCTTTGGGTATACTTACATGATTATTAATTTTATGGTTCTGCTTGCAATTACTTTGAAAGATGCTGTGCAGCAGCACGTTTCTTTTCACAGTACTTCAGTACATCACTACACCATTTCTCATGGCTGAGTGCTTTAATAAACAGCCCTGAGTACACCTGTGGCACTTGGCAGTCTGCTGTCACTGTCTCTGTAGATGTTTTGCAGTCAGATTTCTCAGGGGAAGTGTACTGCTTCTCTGTTCAGAAGTCTCTGCCAGTGTGAAGAGTCCTCTTAGGTGTAAATTGTAAAAACTTATTTTCTGTGAACAGCTCTGCTCATTCCCTGTAATTCTTGTTTTCCTTGTTTGTCACAAATTGTTTTCCTGCTTGAGTATTTTTCAGTGTGGCAGGCTTAACATCTCTGAATCCTGTAAAGGGCTGAGTCTTTAAGCATCCTACTCACCAAAGGTTTTGTATTCCAGCCAATTACTTGGCTTTCAGTTTGTGGCTCTGAGTATTTCTCTCTTGGCACCTCTGCTGCACGGTGAAGAAGTTTCAGGAATTCATCTGTTGTTTTAAAAAACGGGACACAAATACAAATGAAAGTGTGTTTAAAAACAGCCCCTGTGCTTCTGTGAATGATTCTGTCAGAATGCACAGTGACATTTCTACTCAAATATTTCCTGAGGAAGTTTCAAGATTTGCCTGACAGTACTATCCTGTAATTCTGTGTCCCTGACTACTGTACTGCAGCATCTTGCTTTTCCTACACCACGTCTAGTACAAACCAGTGCTCCATGACAGCTCTCGACTTTCTCAGTTGCCTGAGACCTACAGCCTTTCTCTGGTTTGGTTTGCCACCCTCCCCAGTCCTTGAATAGAGCAGCCAACCTTACCTGAGCATTAAGGTTTTTAGACACAATTAGCATGTTAGAAATAAGGGAGCAGCTGCTATAAGGGCTCTTACCAGTACTCTAAAGTAAGACTGGGCAGTCATTTCAGCAGTTTAACTTGCATGGTGGTTGGGTAGAATCTGCAATGGCAGGCAACATGCTTCTAGGTCTTTTTGTTTTCCTGAGAGGTTTAGATTCGCAACCAAAATTTTATAGTATAAGGAATTTTATCTATTTTATAGTTTATCTATATTTTAATTAAAAACAAAAATAAGAGTATAATTGCAAATGTGCTGAAAATGGAAAGTAATGAGAAAGGGCCTTAAAGTGGAAAAAAACCTGCTTTACAAACAAAAATTATAAATGAGTTTAACTTATCTGGTCACAGAGGTGTTTCCACACACATGCTATTTTAGACTGGTTACAATTACTAAATCTTATGTGTTAATAATTTTTTATGTAGTTATCACAAGCTTTTCCGAGACTTCTTACCATCTATGGGCTCCTGTATGTTCTCGTGCCAAGACATTGGCTTCCTAGAGACCATGTGGACTGCAGAGAAATGAGACAGGTGAATGACTTTAATGTGAATTTGGCATCACAGCCAAGTATAGAATATGTATGATTGAACTGCTTGTGCATAGAAGAAAATGAGTTAGAAATACTGATTAATGGCAACCTCTAGGAAGGGAAGGGCATTAACTGTGCTAAAGACCCTTCAATAGGATGCTGCCTGTGCTTGCCATATCAGAGTCCCATCCCAGCCAAGAGATGGCCTGCAGAGTGCCAAGTCTCAGGAAATAGTTTTTCTTTGTTGTTTTATTGAAAAACTTGGACCTGAAAGAATCTATTTACATCACCTGCCTGTGCTAGCACAGACTGTGAATTAGCAGGTAGAAAGTGATCAGGACCTGAAGGAACAGGGTGTAGTGTCGGGGCCCTCTACCCCATCTTGGCTCTGTATTCACACTGAATTTGTAAATTCCACACCCTAAATAGTTGCCTCACTTGTACGTGGTTACTGAAGGCACCATCTAGGCAAGCGGGTCATGTGTCGATTCTGTCTCTGAGTGTGCAAAAGGGAAGTGCTCCAGTTGCCCTTTCCAGCTTTACCCTCTCGCCGACCGCTCTGCCAGCCTGGCTGCGGCTGTCGGTCCCTGAGTGCAGCTGAGCGCTGCGGGCCTGCCCCGGCCCCCCCCTCCCCTCACCGCTTGTTTTGCCCCCGGGGCTTTACTCCGATTCCCTGTGGCTGGCCGGGAGGCCTCACCAGGATGGACGGGGTTCACAGTGTACTGGGTGAAGAGCAGCTGCCAACGGCGCTCCTTCTTGGCCCGCTCTGCCCGGAGGAGGTTCTGCCGCGCGTCCGGCGGGTCCCGCTCTCCGCGGCGAGCGGCCATGCCCGCGCCGCTGCCCCGGCAACGCCGCGTGCTGCCGGCGAGGCCGCCGATTGGCCCGCGCGGCGCCCCGCCTCGCGCCCCGCCCTTCCCGCCTCCTATTGGCCGCCGAGTTAAAGCCCCCGGCGCTGATTGGCGGCGGCGCACGCGGCGCGTTTGAACGGCCGGCGGGGCTGATGGAGGCGGCGGAGCTGCGCTGCACGGCGGCCGTGGAGCAGCCGCTGCCGGGGGGCCTCGCCCCGCGCCGCCGCCTGATGCGGAACGCGACCGTGCTGCTGGGCCGCAACGAGCTGCGGCAGCCCGTGCTGCGCGTGGCCGGCGGCAGCGGCGCGGCGGCGGCCGTGCTGAGCTTCGTGCTGGCCGGTGACGCCGTGAGGCTCTTCACGCGGTTCGCGGGCGAGGGGCGGGCGGCGGTGCGGGTGGGGCCGGACGGCGCCCAGGTGCTGCTGTCCGACTGCCCCCCGGACGCGCTGCGCCGCTTCCTCCGCCTCCTGCGCCTCAAGGTGGCCGCCGGGCCGCGGGACGCGCCGCGCCGCCCCCGCCTGCTGGAGCGGCCGCCGCCGTCCTTCTCCGTGATCAGCCCGGTGCAGGAGCGGGACCTGCTGGGCAGCCCCGGCCGCCGCCAAGAGCGGGGGCAGCCCCCGGCGGAGGTGAGTGCCCGGGCGAGGGGGCGGCCCCGGGGAGCGGCCCTGCCCAGCCTCACAGCGCGCCCCCCCTGTCCCGCAGGTGCCCCGCAAGGAGAGGCGGCCCCCGGCGAGGCTCTCGGCGGAGCAGGAGGCGGTGCTGGGCGCCGTGCGGAGCGGCAAGAGCATCTTCTTCACCGGCTCTGCAGGTGAGCGTCCCGGCCACTCTCATCGGCTCCCCGATGGGGGAAAGTCCTGTCCATTGACCTGTTGCTTCTCTCTCGAAGGGACTGGGAAGTCGTTCCTGCTGAAGCGGATCTTGGGGTCCCTCCCTCCCAACATCACCTACGCTACAGCCAGCACGGGAGTGGCGGCTTGTCACATCGGTGGCACTACTCTCCACGCCTTTGCAGGTGATGGCCTGCCCGACAGCGAGGGGCTGGGAGCTCTTACTCCCTTCCCAAAGAATCGGGAGCATCCTAAAGCTTTGCTTTTTTGTCCTGTGGCAGGGATCGGCTCTGGGAAGGCACCGCTGGAACAGTGCATTCAGCTGGCAGAGAGGCCAGGGGTGCGCCAGCACTGGCTGGCCTGCCAGCACTTAATTATTGACGAGATCTCAATGGTGGATGGCAAGTTCTTTGACAAGCTGGAAGCGGTGGCAAGGTGAGCAATTGTCAGGTCAAACTAGCAGAAATGAATTTCCCTAAACTTCCAGTCTGCTACCATTCTTTCATTTTGTGAATGGATACAAGGCAGCTACTGGTACAGGACTGTAAGGAAGCATGAAATCATAGCATCTGGGTCGATCTTTACCATGAGATAGATTTTGGTCATGTCCATTCCTCACTCGTAGCTGTGGCTGTTTGGGTTGTTCTCTCCATCTCCTGAGCTGAGTCCAGAATATACAGCTCTGTCCAAAAGGTCTCTATTGGCAGAGAGAAGTAGCTGTAGTATAACAGCCACTAAAGAACCAAGACTGGTAATGACCTCTGGGCTAGGCAAGCAATGTGAATTTAATGTCTTGTACTAGCACTGCTTAATTATTTGAGCTCTTCAGAGGCTGGGGATAAGCATCTTTCACTGCAGTTGTCCAGGTTTGAATATACTGACAGATTGAGAAGTAACTTCTGGGACCTGACTATGTCCAGATTCTGGAAGACATTCAAAACTTCTCTTCTATCCCTTTTAGGGCCGTCAGAAAACGGGATGAGCCTTTTGGAGGAATTCAGCTAATTATCTGTGGGGATTTCTTACAGCTACCCCCAGTCTGCAAGGCTAATGAAGAAACCAAGTTCTGCTTCCAGGTACAAAACTGTTCCTAAACTCATTCTCATACTTCAAGTCTGCCTCTTTCTTAACAAGAGAATGATTTTTCCAGGCAAAAAGCTGGAGGAAATGCATCCACGTAAACATGGAGCTGACTGAAGTGCGGAGACAGACTGACAAGACCTTTGTCTCAATCCTGAGTGCAATCCGTTTAGGCAGGTGAGGATAAACTCATCTCTCTTTGTAATCCCTGCTACCCACAGGTGGATCAGAGTAAGGTGCAGTTTTTCACTTTTCTGTATGCTGTCAGGACTGTGTGGCTGTGGGCAAAAGCTATAAGTGCTTTAGTTAACATAGATAGGTTTCATATATGCTGCTCTGGTAAGGAAGGACACTTCCTAGGGTCCCTGTGCAATTTCTGTGAATTAGTTCGAAGGATCCTGAGCTGGGAGGGCTGGGGCACACACTGGCTCTGCTCTCTCACTTTATGCAGGTGTCCTTCTCTGCCCTCTCTGGAGGCCTGTGGCTTGCACAGACTGATCTAGCTGTGTGAGGTTACTGCTGCTCAAACCTGTCCCTGATCACTTTAAAGAAGAATTCCCCTTTCCTGGCTACCAGGTGCACAGAGGAGGTTACCAGACAGCTGATGCAGACAGCTGCTCACAAGTCTGAGCGTGATGGGATCCTGGCTACGAGGCTGTGCACCCATAAAGATGATGTAGAAATAACCAACGAGAGACGCTTGCAACAGCTCCCAGGTGAACTCGGTGGAGGAAGCTCCTGGCTCTGGGGCTGAGCTCTGTGTGGGTGCAGTGGGGGTACTGGGGTGGGACCAGTGTTCTGTCATCACAGCAGCACCAGTCCAAGCTCTGTGTGTTGGAGTTGAGGTGTCTGGGGAAAAAAATTCAGTTTTTTGTTTAAAAAGCCACAATGTCACTGGTTTGTAAGAAACAGCAAGCTCATTGCTTGCCTCCACACCCCTACTTTTTCTTTCTATAGCATCTTAGAAAGGCCATGTTCTATCCAGCCATGACTTGAATTAAAGACTATTTAATTTTTTGTCTCCCTTGCTGGCCCTTGGATTCTTCCTTAGTCTGTTTTGGAAATCTGCTGTTGGTAGTGAGTGAAACTGCTCAAAATGCTGTCTGCTCAGTTCTTAGTTACTGCTGACCTTTCATTCCTGTGCCTTTTCATGCTCTGGAAGTTAGATAGGGAAGAGAGGCAATAATGAGCTCTCTGCTGTTAGATGTGACTAGGTTTGTGTGAGGATTTCCTAGCAGCAGAGCAGAATGGATGTTAAAAAAGGAATTGCTGTTAGAAATAAATGCTGAACCTCCTGAAATGCTGTGTAGAGTAAGTTCAACAGTTATAAGTTCTGTCTTTCTCTCCTTAACAGGAGAAGTGCATGTGTTTGAGGCTTTGGACAGTGACCCAATGCTAGTGAAGTTAATTGATGCTCAGTGTCCTGTGGGTGGTAGAGTTGAGCTAAAGCTTGGAGCTCAGGTAAGTGTGTGTGCATACATGTGTGATAGAACAGAACAAATGGCATAAGAAAAATGGAGGAATATCAGAGAAATGTATAGAGTAGATTAATATATTAGAATGCAATTCAGTCTAGAATGACAATGCCAGGCCAACAGATGATCCCAATCTCTGTATCTTTTCTGCTTAGAGTCTTATCCAGACAGAAGATGAGTTCAGGTCCATGTCCTGAGGACAGTGGTGATTGCTGTGACTTTGACAGACATGTCCAGTCAAATTTAGAAGCTTTCCAGTAGCAGAGAGCATAAGCAGTCATTGCCTGCAGTCTCAGCTCCAGGTACAGCAGCCCTCCCCACCTGTAAAGGTAGGGCACAGCTTGCCACATTTGCTGGACTGGGCACCTAGCTCTGAGCTGGGGCTGTCAGAATGGAAAGGATGTGGGATTGTACTTAGTAGTACTGTTTGCTTTGGAAACTTGTTCCTTTGCTGTTCCCAGAATCTGTATGAGCATAGGCTGATGATGCCTGGTGAAGGGGAAACTGCTCCCTGGATCTGAGCTCACAGAGAAATAACTCAAGTAAAATGTTCAGTGCTGTAAAATGATGTAGTTAGGAATCCTAGGAAGGAAAGGCTATGAAATAATTCCAATCAAATGGGAGATGGTGCTGCAATAGGCAGGATAGGATGATTTGGCCAAATCAGCCTGATGTGCTCATGCTTCCTGGCAAGAGGTTTAGCTGCAGGTAGCTGAACAGGCTGTAGAAGCAGTGCATTGAAGATATTTCTTTCTCTCTGTAGGTGATGTTAGCAAAGAACCTTGATGTGTCTCAAGGGCTGGTGAATGGGGCACGAGGTGTTGTTGTAGGGTTTGAAAGTGAACAGAAGGGTGAGTAAGTCTTTTGATCTTTTGTTGAAGGAAGTGGGAAAATAATAAAACAGTGTGTCATTGGTGGCTGATGACTTCTTAATTTGTTTACAGCTTGGTAATAATTTGAGGGAAAGCAGAGAGATCTCTGCAAGCTTGGGGCTCTCACGAGCTGTGATGTCAGGCACTGCATCAGCTACAGCTATCTGTAGGCCTCTTGTGTTCTGTAGTCTGTATGTAAATGTGTGTGCTCATTTGAATTTCCTGTTTGTTCTGCTGAAGCAAGTTTTGATTAATTTTTGTTTGTTTTTCTCAAAGAATAATGTTCTGCTACCTGCAAAATGTATTTTTCTCTGCACGTCAACTGGTAAAATATCTGCCTTTAATTCTTCTGCTTAAGTAGATGTCAAACATCATTTCAGGACATGCTGTTAACTGTCTCTGGATTTAAGTTAGGTTTAGGCAGAAAAAAAGGTGTTCTTTAGCTGCTGGCATCCTGGCTGTTGAGTGTCAGGAATACATCCCTGATTTTTTTCCTGCTCCCATTCCCACAGGGCTGCCTAAGGTGAGGTTTCTCTGTGGGGTCACACAGCTCATAAAAATGGAGAAATGGGTCATCAAAGGACCATCAGGAGTTCATCTGAGTCGTCAGCAATTACCTTTAAAATTGGCATGGGCCATTTCCATTCACAAGAGTCAGGTGGGTGTTGTTGTACAGCTGTCTGTAGACCTTTACACCATTACAAACCTTATTTCCTGGGTGAGCTTGTATTGCTGGTGAAACAGGGGGGAAAGCTGAAAGGCCCTTGCTGGGGGGAACTCCAGAATATGTGTCTAGCTGCAGAGAGTGGGGCTGTCAGTGATGCTGGGGTTTCCCTAAGGGCACTGCCATCTGCAGAGTTGGAGTTGGGCTATACAGCAGCATTATTTATCACTGTGGGCTGATGAGGGTCATGCTCCCCTGAGAGCATGAGGGACCTGAGCTCTGCAGTGTCACTGAGGAGGCTGCTGGAGCCACAGCTGTGCTCTTTTGGGCTGGACTCACCCTTTCGTGGTGTGCAGTGGGGATTTTTTTCAATATAACTTTCAGTGTAACAATGTAATATTTTAAAAGTTCCTTCCTTTCCATAAGATTTCATACTTGATAAATATGGTCTTGGAGACCTGTGACCTGTGAGTTTATTCCTGTGCCACAGTTTAAGCTACACCATGCTGTGAATTCTGCTGCACCTGGGACAACCCAAACTCTCTCAGGTCTCCCTGAGGACTGCTTGAGAAAGGTGCCTGCTCCACTTAACTACTAAGAGTGAAACCAGCAGGATTTCTGTCCCTGCTATGTTGATTAGATGAGATTTATGGAGTTTCACAAAAGAAGAGCCTCACTGGAGTTAGTTAGTGGATCCTACTGTCTACTAGAAATTTCCTGACAGTGGAAAAATGCCTTTGCTTTCTGCTGATTCCCTTCTTTTAAAATCAAAAGACGGTACCTTGGACAGACTCACAGGTTAGTGCTGCTACATCCCAATGCTGTTTGTTTGCTGTGTAAGCCAGCCCTCTGTGCCTTTGGCAGGGCATGTCTCTGGACTGTGTGGAGATCTCCCTGTCCCGTGTCTTTGAGAGCGGCCAGGCCTACGTGGCCCTGTCCCGCGCCCGGAGCCTCGCGGGGCTCCGTGTCCTGGATTTCGACCCCAAAGCAGTGAGAGCTGACCCTGCTGTGCTGCACTTCTACAGGCACCTGAGGCACCACCAGCTTCCAGCTCAGGTAAAGGAAAATCCCACACAGGGATTTTCAGGAGAGATGGAACTGCAGAGAGGGCATGCAGCAGGGCAGCTCTTGGTGTGGCAAAATACTCCTGTGATGTTGGGGTTGTGTAACACTACCTGGTCCTGTGGGTGAAAGGATGGGTTGGGATCCTTTGATCCTCCCCTTGCAGTAAGGAATTAAGGAGAAGTGGGCACTAAATAAATTTATGGTATTTTTTTTTCTTTCTCATCAAAGGATTCATTACACACCTATTCAGATACTGATGAGAAGGAGAACCGGAAATGCAACTGAGAATGCTCTTCTAGTTTCTGTGAGGTGTCAGCTCAGCCTGCTGAGATGCAACAATCTTGCTGTGTATATTTGATAACACAAAGTCAAAGGAGATTTTTTGGATGTTTGCTTCATTCAGCTGACTCTGGATATGTAGAACTATTCCCATCTCACATCTCTGGAATTTGGAAGGCTTCTGCAGACCCTTCTGAGCCCCCAGCCTTGAGTACTTCTGTGTCACAAATGCAACTCTAGCAAACAAAATGACTGAACAAGGACATTTCTACAGTTTTATCCAGTCTGAGGGACCTTCCTACCATTCTCTCCTGCCTGCTAATTGTATTTTATTATCTACACATATAGACTGAGGCCTGTGTGCTTTTATTCAAGTTTACCACTGTGCAGAGACAGAAAGTGTCCTCTTTGCTTGGATGGATTGCTCACAGGAGCTGCTGACACAAGGGAAAGCAGGGCTAAATATCTGGAATACTTGATTTGCCTGCAAGAGGAGAGCTGTCCTTGCTGCCTGACTCCAGGAGTCTGCATAACTTCTTCCACAAGCAGAACTGTCAGAGTTGCACATTGCCTGTTATGCTGATATATAGCATTTTTATTAATCTGTTGCATACAATGAGGTGATTTTTTTTCTTAACCTTTTGAGATGAGCTGGCACTATTTAAAAATAGGAGGAAATCCTACATCTTGTACCCATAATTATGGAACTATAAGAACTGTGGAGATTCATTACCCCATGAGCAAGAAGGGGGTTAGAGGAGATGGGTGCTGGTGGGACCCCTCTTGTTTAAACACATGAGGCCCATTCAGATGGGAGTTTCTCCTGGAAAAAATGTCTGACTAATAAGGTGGAACTTGAGTGTGCAATAGAGGAATGGCTAAGGACATGGGAAGTAACTTCACTAGTTTCAGCAGAAGCAGAGATGAGCAGAACTAATGTGCTGTCTTCTTAATAAAGGAGAAGCTTTGGTCTTTAGCTTTAGGCAAAGTGCTAAAATACAAAGTAACTTGCATTTTTTAAAATGTTTTACATATGGGAATAACATGAAATAACATCCATCTGGAACTTATCTCTTGCATGCAGGGGAATTCTCTAAAAAAGCCTTTGCAGTGTAAGCAAATTGAAGGCCATTTCTTAGCAGCTGCTCTCCTTAAGGCCAGGAAAGGATGTTGGCTAGCCAGTGGTTAACATAACAGAAAACAGATTTCAATAGGATTTCAAAATGTATTTTTTTAGTAATTTTTTGTTTTCTTTTGGGTTTCTTTGTTTGTTTTGAATTTTTTTTCTGGGCTTGAGAAGGTAGAGTCTTGGAGGTAGCAGCAGTGTAAGACAGCAGTGTGGCTATTATTTAGAGAGGTTCTTAATGTATCAGCATATTGTTTCTTCAAAGAAGTTTGATGGGGAGTGTATGGAAGTACCTGGAGGTGGAGCTGGAGCCTATGGAAGCAAATCCCAAACCTTGGGCTTGGACAGGGGGCTGGTTTCAGTTGGCACTCTGGTAAGTTTTTAAAGATGGGATGCTGCAGCATGATCAGGGATTTATGTTGCATTGGACTTTAAAGTGTGGGACCTAAAATGCCCAGAATGCTAAAGTGAGTTTTACTGTTGGGATAGGCAGCTATGAAGACTATGCCAGGCAAGTCCAGTCATTGACAATAAATTGATTTATTGATGGATTATGTAAGAGCAACAAGGCAGGTTCAAATCCTTTAATAAGTACCCCTGTAATTGTAAAACAATTCAGAGTGTAAGACTGTGATTATGTGCAATGCAAATAAACTTTTAATTATGATCTTGTGCAGTAACTCACTTAACTGCAGCTTTCATGGACTTAGGGACTGAAATCTTTGCAGTTGTATGGCGGGGTGGGTTGGTGCCAATTTGAGATAAAATGCTAAACAGAACTTAAAGATGAAAAGGCTAATATTTCATTTAGTATTAAATCTACGTGAAATATTGTGGATGCATTCTCAGTGATGGAACTGTGGAAGCAGAATCACTGTGGCTTTTGAAAGGCTGGCAGCTGCTCTGAGGCCAAAAGGTGTCCCTCTGTGTAAACCCTGGATGTTCTCACTTCCAGCTAGAGCAGATATATGGATGGGTGCTGAGTTTGAAAGCTGCTATTTGAATCCGAAAAGAAGCAGTTAGGACAAATCTGAGCTGGCAGGCTCTGTCATGGCTCCCCTTGGGTTGGGATTATGATGAGGCATTTTTAAAATGGAATAATGCTTTCCTACATGAGCAAAAAAAATCTTGTCATACAATAAATATCCCTTCTTCCATATTAAATTTTCTTACAGAGGTACTATCTAGAGCTAGAACTCAGTACACCACCATGGGATTTAAAAAAAAAAGCAAAACAACAAAACCAATACTTATAATTTAAGCCTTTAAACATCTGCCTTAGCTGCAGCTATTATTAAGTGAATGAAACTAAGAGTTTGATTCATAATTGGTATTTCTGTTACCACAAAGTACAGCCATTCTCATTTCAAATACATTAAACCATAAGAAACTGCTTTATACCAGCTAAAGCTCCGTAATACATTTATGTGTTAATGGAAGCATAATTCACAAACAGAGTGTTATTAAAACCTTACCAGCTTCCAGTTTAAGTCTTTGTATGGTGATTTAACATCCTTCCTGTTCTTTATGTGACATTTTCATTATAATTAAACAAATATGTGTCCTCAGCCTGTGCCCACAAGTCCTGTGAGCACAGGAAAGGCAGCAAGAGTCCTGTTGATTTGGATGCTGTAATAAGATTGTGTCCAGGAATTAGACCTTCATATCCAGGATTGCTCTGAATAGATTAAAAAATGCTACCCTTAAGTAATGGAAATACAGTACATTATTGGTTGTGCTATCAATGCTAATAATGTCATTTTTTCTTGTAGATATTACAAGTTTCTCATTTTATATTAGGCCACTCCGTGACATGTAATTGTCTTCTGCTGTTAAATCTAAGCAGTACTATTATTAGCACGAGAAAAGACCTGAATTGCTAGAGATTGCATTTAGATGTGTAAAATTTCTGTTTTGCTGTTTCCTATATAACTATTTTATGCTTGTTACTATTAAAAATCATAAGATGTTGTATGGAATATTTTAGCTGAGCTACTGATTAGTTTTAATTTATGAAATCTGGTTATAGAGGCAAAATAAGTTGATAGGAAGTCTAAGAGTAGTTTTTCACTTATAATTATTGAATACTACACTATTTTATTTTTTTTCTTTTAAATTTGTTATGGTGTTGATACAGGGGGCAGTCAGATGTGACAAAGAATGTATGAGAGCCTTCCTGGAGTGGCAGCTCTGTAGGCACCAACAGCTTCCTAACTGGTACCACAGGTGGGCAACTGGGTTCCAAGGTAGTACATGCTTTTACTAAATTGTTTATCACAATATTTCTGCAATGACAGCTATGATAAAGATGTCTCTGACAGAAATTCAAGATTTTTAATTAAGGTTTTTAAATTATTATTGAAAATTATTATATGGACTTCGTTGGGGTTTTTTCCCGCTCTTATGTCTCAAAATATGTGTTTTTTGTCAACAGACAAGTGAATGTGTACAGGAACCACACCTTCCATCTATTGCTTCTTAAGCCACTAGGCTGTATATCAGTTTTCTGTAGGACACTTAATTTTTGTTTATTGAATTACTATGAACACCCTGAGAATTACAGGGGGATTTGCACAGACTTTCAGCTGGAGGTCTGTGCAAGTTGGTCCAGATCTTCAGATTTTGGATTCTCTTTTGTTTACTGAAAGGTCTGTGATTCCCTCTAATTAAATATCATGTTACAAAGGGTACAACTTATTTGAAGACAATGCCAGACATTAAATTAAAAACATAAGTAAACCTACTTAAGATTATTCCAATAGATAATAATTCACAAAAACAAGGCATCACATATCTTAGTATTTCCAAGTGAAGGCTGGACAAATTTACTGAATGTAACAGATCAAATATGAAAAACATGGATGTGAATTAATGAGAATAACTTGGATTAAAAAGCAACTTCTAAAGGTTGTGATTTATCTGAGAAGAGAGTATGTAGTGACCAGCCAGTTTTTAGGTTGTTCCATAAGAAAATTCCAGAGAAATTACCTTTGTGTTTGTGTTGGATTAATAGGACACCTTGCAATAAAATATTTGACCATAATAACACCAGGTTCTTTCAACTGACACTTGGAATTACAAAGTAAATTTTAAAAACAGATCTTGAATCTTCAGCAATGTACTAGTAATTCCTTGCCAGACTGTCAATGCATAATGCAGGGGGATGTTACCAGATCTAATGTCATAATAAAGAAGGAAGCTTTAATAATAAAGAAGGAAGCTCTGAAATTGTTTGAGTTTTACCCAAACAATTTCCTTTCCAGATGAGAGAGACCTTGCAATAACCTTAACCCTTTTACATGTGATGGTAGCAAGCTATGGTTATTTTAACATAAAATCCCCACTGAAAATAGAACACATCAGATGATTCAGTCAGGTTAAAATGATAAACTTTCATAAAATCTTGTCCTTTTGTCTTCATTAGCCATAATTATTGCTGTCAGTTTAAACTTTGGGACAAATACTACATGTCTTCCTTTTGTTTTAAAAATAAAATATAAAAATGGCTCTGTAGAAACAATTTTAAGTTCATGTTCAAGATACAGTAATATTTTTGACAGATTGCTGTGAAGTCTTGTGCGCTCTCGGATCTCAAAACAGTACAAGGTCAAAAGTATTGTTTGTGATGCCCTATATATTTTAACAGAAATATTGTCAAAACAAATTATAATCAGGTTTTGACACTTGTCCTGAAAGTGTCAAGGCCTCCATAAAATATAATACCTCAAAAGCTTCAGGCAAAAACTCCTATGTGTGATATTCATTCAATTACTCTGTAAAGTGTAGATCATCTTGCAGTGCTCAGTTTTGGGGTCAGGACACTAATATGAGAAAGAGGCCCTTAATAGCCTTTGCTATGGATTTCATGAGATGTTCTTGG